GGGGGGAGGCTAACTGAAAAGACGCTAGTGGAAATTGAGGTTCTCTTGACCTGTTTGTGTTTATAGAAAATATTTATTTTTAGTTGTTTCTAATTTTGTTCACGTATTCAATTATTGCAATCAAAATTGTCGGTAATAAAAAAACAAACAAAAAAAAAACACACACACAAAAAACAAAAAAAACAAACATAACAAAACAAAGATAGATAAAAACACAAAAAACAACAACAACATCATTATATACTTAGAACTAAAAAAAAACAACAACAACATTATATACTTAGAACTAAAAAAAAAAAACAACATCATTATATACTTAGAACTAAAAAGAAACACAACTATTTGTATTTAAATAAACTTTTGGCATTTATTTAAAACTTAATTATTTTTAAGTATTAAATATACTAATTAAAGAGAGCAAATACTGTTCGTTGAAAAGGTATCTGGATTTTTTAAGGCTAGGCCTATTAATTTAACACGCCATTTCTATTAAATTCTATAAATGGTATAGAAATGACATGATGGTGTGATGAAAATAAGATATTATATTTACAAAAAAGAACCGAACATTTATTAATGCGTGATTTATCTGAGGGAAGTGGAAGCAGTTTAAAATATCTTAGAAATTGATTAACTTGAAAAGCTTATTTGGGGTTGTTAACTATTATAAGCAGAAGCCCTAAGTTGTAATGTGGACAAAAATAAATTATTAGCTTTCAATGCAGAAAAAGTGTGTGTGTGTGGGGGGGGGGGTGTGTTGGAGGCCACGAAACCTAAACTTGATAGGGTGCATGAAACCTAAAATTGACAGGGGGACACAAAACCAAAAATTGACGGGGGAAACAAAAACTAAAATTGACATTCAATGCAGAAAAAGTGTGTGTGTGTGGGGGGGGGGGGTGTTGGAGGCCACGAAACCTAAACTTGATAGGGTGCATGAAACCTAAAATTGACAGGGGGACACAAAACCAAAAATTGACGGGGGACACAAAACCTAAAATTGACACTTGGGGACAAAACCTAAAATTGACAGTTGGGGGACCAAACCTAAAATTGACAAGGGCAGGGGGACACAAAAGTTAAAATTGTTAGTTGGGGACAAATCCTAAAATTTACAGTAGGGAACAAAACCTAAAATTGACAGGTGTATAAAACCTAAAATTGACAGTGGGACACAAAAGCTAAAATTGACAGCTGGGGACAAAACCTAAAATTTACAGTTGGGGACAAAACCTAAAATTGACAGTTGGGGGACAAAGCCTAAAGTTGGAAAGGGGGCACAAAAGCTCAATTTGGCAGGTGCCGCCAAAAGTTACGTGATTGCTTTCACTATAACTTTTCCCCTAGATAAATTGCTCATTAATGAACACATGTCACCACTTGTATACCTCTTTTATTTACTTTAACACATTTGACCCTCACCCCTCAAATCACGGAATTTTTCATTTTACATTGACGAATATTTGTAAGTAAAACTAGTTACAAAATGGAATTGATTTGAACATTGGAATCTGTGGAAGCCCGCGTCCTGCTGAACGTTGTAAGCAAATTAAATTGTTTTTGCTCTATTAATATTCATTAACATTATGGGAGACGTGATAACCCTAGAAGCGTTATTTCCCCTATAAGTGTGAGGGCCCCTATAAGCGTTTTGTCCAATACAATTGTGAGGCCCCCTAGAAGCGTGATTTTTCCCTAGCAGTGTGAGGCCCCGTACACGCGTGAGGTCACCTGCTAGTGTGAGGCCCCTTTAAGATCGTGAGGTCACCTGCAAGTGTCGGGCCCCCTTAAGAGCGGGATGTCACCTGCAAGTGCGGGGCCCCCGTAAGAGTGTGATGTCACCTAGAAGCGTGATGTCCCTTTCAAGTGTGAGGCCCTCTACTTGCGTGACGCCCTCTACGAGTGTGAGAACCCCTAGAAGTTTGACGACCCGGGAAACTGCCCAGTGTGTCCATGCCTTAAGAAGACACTTATCTAAACTCAGCATTACATCAGACATTCTTGCATACACACATACAGACTTAGAGCATTATTATTTGCTCTCACAGGGGATTATAAGTGGATCAGAAAAAAACGTTTTTAAACTCAAGTTCAGTACAATAATAACCAAAGCTCAAAGGATATTTGGACCCCGGCTACTTACTTAATTTATACATTTAATATTAAAAATGATGTCTATAAATATTTTTTTTCAGGTGCTGTAATGTTGTTGTTTACTGATTCTCGCCAAAGAGTGTTAAGTGAGTTCAGTATTGACCAATGCCTCAAAAAGTGTTAAGTGAGTTCAGAATTGATCCGTGCTCAGAAAGTGTAAACTTCATTTTGGAAGGTTTTCAACCAGATGTTGTATGAGAACTTTTGAAAATAAACTAAAATACACCTCAATAAATTTTGTGTCTACGTGTGCATAAAATTGGTGATTGCATCAAAATGAAACATGTTCTTCTGGTAACGCACCGCCAGGGAAAAAGAAATATATAGAATGAACATCAATTCATTCATTTATACTGAAAATAGTTGATTGGAAGTGAAACAAAAAAATATTTTTAAAAATCTACAGTGACAACAAAGATGGAAAAGTCGGTACCAGGAACCTCTACTTACAACAACGACCAACTTCTCTTCAGAATACTAACTTCTCAATCTTCAGGAGGAGGCAGTTATCAACTCCTGAGTGCTCTTTCCCAGTACCGGCCTGGATCGTTCTCTCAACAAGCTCTGGATTACTGTCTGATAACAGCTTGCAGAATTGGGAATCCCCTCATTGTCCAGGGTTTAACCAATCAACTCGCTAATCTGGAAACAAGAGATGCCCGGGGCATGACTCCACTACAAGAGATGCCCGTGGCATGACTCCACTACAAGAGATGCCCGTGGCATGACTCCACTACAAGAGATGCCCGGGGCATGACTCCACTACAAGAGATGCCCGGGGCATGACTCCACTACAAGAGATGCCCGTGGCATGACTCCACTACAAGAGATGCCCGTGGCATGACTCCACTACAAGAGATGCCCGTGGCATGACTCCACTACAAGAGATGCCCGTGGCATGACTCCACTACAAGAGATGCCCGTGGCATGACTCCACTACAAGAGATGCCCGTGGCATGACTCCACTACAAGAGATGCCCGTGGCATGACTCCACTACAAGAGATGCCCGTGGCATGACTCCACTACAAGAGATGCCCGTGGCATGACTCCACTACAAGAGATGCCCGTGGCATGACTCCACTACAAGAGATGCCCGTGGCATGACTCCACTACAAGAGATGCCCGTGGCATGACTCCACTACAAGAGTTGCCCGTGGCATGACTCCACTACAAGAGATGCCCGTGGCATGACTCCACTACAAGAGATGCCCGTGGCATGACTCCACTTCAAGAGATGCCCGTGGCATGACTCCACTACAAGAGATGCCCGTGGCATGACTCCACTACAAGAGATGCCCGTGGCATGACTCCACTATTACTGTGTGCTGAATTGTCTGTTACAGAATTGGCCAAGGTTCTGCTAAAAAGGGGAGCAAACGTTAACGCCACCAGTTATAATGGTGAAACACCTTTGACCTTGTCCACTTATCTACCTGGGTCAGCCGACATGACGAAACTCTTGCTGGAACAGCCACAAGTGGACATAGGTCACAGAAACAACAATGGTTACTCGGCACTGATGATTGCCATGGAAGCAGAAAATTTTACTTCCGCGAAGCTGTTGATAAATGCTGAAAAGGATGAAACGACCGAGGGTGATCAGGAACGTCCAGAGAACAGCACCGGAGAAACTGTGGAGAAGATAGCCCAACGGGTTGGATTCGCTGACCTTTTAGAACTCTTGCGGCGAGAAAAGCGCACAGGTGTGACGTCCCTAGACCAAGCCGTGTTGAATAGAGACGTAAAGTCTGTACAGTTTTTAGCAAGTTACAACATTTGTGCGCACGACAGTGACAGTAAGATCTGCCGCACTCTCACGTGCCTTTTCAGCTCAATCAAAGGCCATGTTCAAGATGTTGAACACGACATCGTACGAATCCTGTGTGAAACCTTATCTTTAGAGCACGAAGAAAAGGAAAATAAAGAAGCGGTTATGGAACTTGCTTTGGGTCTAACAGACTTGAAATTGATTAAAATTCTGTGCGGCAAAGGATTCGTTGGCTCATACAAATCGCTCTCGATGGCTGCCGCTATAGGGCGACGGGATATCCTGTGTTTGCTTCTCAGCACTGGCGCTGAAGTTAACAAATGGGACAGTCAAAGGCAGATTCAGTATAAGGGTTCTCCCTTGGATCAGGCAATTCAGAATGGCCATTTTTACTGTGCTTTAGATCTTCTAGAACGTGGAGCAAAAATTGATGTTAAATTAGCCATGTCGACAGCTGTGAGCGGCAAGGACATCAACGCTCTCCGATATTTATTGAACCAGTTTCCTTCGAATGTTAGATCAGCTATAACGCAGTCCAGCTTCTTGCAAGAGGCAGTAGACCAAGGTGACACGCAGACTGCCAATTTTCTGCTGGAAAATGGAGCAAATGTCAACCAGGTAGTCAATGGTAAGACGCCACTCATGCACGCCACGGATGTCGGTATGATTGACTTGTTGGTTAAATGGGGAGCTGATGTTAACCTCGAGACAAGCCAAGAAGGTACTCCCCTAATATATGCCTTGTCTTTTTCTTACCATTGGAACATTAGAAAAAGAGCTGAAACTAAGAATGCAGAAGGAATTGGACATTTCGAATGTAATGAAAAGATTAGAGACATCGTTTTGAAACTTTTAGAACATGGTGCAAAGTGTAATGGTGTGTTCCATTATGGAGAGTCCCCACTCTCTCATGCGACAGAAAAATGTCATCCCATAAGTCTTTTAGAGATGTTGCTTGATGCTGGAGCTGATGTCAATGATATTGGTCCAAGAATAACGTCTGCCCTTCATACCGCATCGTCGACCTGTGACACTGAGAAAGTTCAATTTTTAATTGACGCTGGGGCCGATGTAAACCTTAGAGACTCTTCTGGTCAAACTCCTATATTTAGGACCGTTGACCCGGAAGTTATTGAATGTTTACTAAAAAATGGTGCTGATGTCAACGTCGAAGATGAAAATGGCGATACCCCGCTGATTCTTGCGATTGAGTCTGGTGAAGACGTGCAGGAGATTTTCGACATTTTTATAAAAGCTGGATGTGACGTGAATCACCAGAATGAAAATGGTGTTTCAGCCTTTCTTTTAGCTGCAAAATATCTAAGCAGTGATGCACTGGAAATCTTACTTAAAGGTGGGGCAGACGTAAACGCTTGTACCAAAGGTAGCAAGCCGAGGACTGCACTGGACATTTTACTGAAGTCGATTTGGAAGGAACCATTGGAAACAGGTGAATGTATCCAGGCATTAATTTCACATGGTATCAATTTATTAAAAATAAATCCCTGCGTTATCCATATTCTTATATCCGCTGGATGCTTGTCCATTGCCGGACAACTGATTTCGACTGGCATAGGACCAACAGAGGTCCCGCTTCACAGAAGTGTTAAAGGTTGGTACAAATCAGAAGCCTTCATATCACCTTTGGGCGTGGCATTGCTTCTGAACAACGTGAAGCTGGCTCGATATTTTTTTGAAATAAGGTATCTGACAAAATCAGACCTTTCGTTGCTTAGAAGAACCAAATCACTCTCTAAGCACCTTTCGCATGAGTGCTTAAAATTTACACAGGATGCATCACATCAACCGCTATCGCTAGAAACTCTGAGCTTAGTGGCCGTCTCTTCCGTCATTGGTGCAGCTCCAGGAAGACGATCCCGGGTGGAAAAGACCAATCTCCCTTCCACCCTTCAAGCAGCATTGTTGTACACAGACATTCGTCCCATCGTTGAGAACTCAAGTGAACCTAAGAGTCTTTCTCTCTACCGATCGTTGGTTAAAAAATACCAAGCTAATAAAAACACAGACTCTAGTGACGAGAGTGTACAATATTCATACGATGATTTAACCAGTGACAGTGACTTTTAAAATTGTTGCCTTTAATCAGTGATACGAAATTTTCATTGGTCAAATTGTTAACAAATTTATCTTAAACCCAGCACTCAGGGTGGAGAACATAGTTCAGTCATATTAATTAATATGCCAAACACAACTTACAGTCATATTAATTAATATGCCAAACACAATTCACATGATTAGAAAAAATATATATGATATGATTTAGAAAAAAAAAAGACTTTATATCAAAGACGAGTTAAGCCTAATAAGCAATAAAACGTTGAAAATAATGTACACTTTCTTAAAATGCATAACGCAAAGAAAGACTGTGCATAAATATAAATAGCTTTATATGCATTTAAGGGATTCGAAGTGAATGCAAAGGAACCGTAAATATATTTTTAAAATTAATTTTAAAAAAATATTTTCTGCGCATAAGCTCTTTGCATAATTAATTTTTAAGAAAATGTAATTTATTATTTTACTTTTTAGTTTGTTTTATGTCCTCTTTGATAGGAGGTATGTGGCTTTATAAAGTTGAAACAAAAATATTCATTGATTTTATACTTTTTAAACTTTAATCTTTAAATTATGGACAATAGTAGAATTATTTACTCTTAACGAATCCCAGTTCAAATGACTTGGCTCTTTACCTAGGCAGAAAAATGTTTAAAAAGTAGATCTGAGCTCAGCCATCAACCCGTTCAGTCAACCGCGAAGCTGATGCGGTCCACCGCGATTACCTGAGCGACAGTGTCACCCGCCTTCATCGGCCCTGGTGAAGACTAGATTTTGACCAAACTCGGTTGCAACGAGCCGACAAACACATTTCAGGTGACAATTTTTCGAGGAAATGATCAACCGAGCCAAATTTCCCGTATGTCAACAAAGAAATAGCGCTCCATTTACACATCGGCAAGATGAAAATGAAAGTAGAAAGAAAATCTTTTTAAAAAAGGTTGCCCTTTATTCAGTTGTTTAATATACCGTACTCTACCATGTTCAGAGCCACTATAAGGCAAACTAAACCACCATTGACAAGACCAAATTTGCGACTAAATCGACTTTGTATCTAGGGCGTATATTAAACAACACTTAGATACTAAGTTTTGTATAAATCCTTTATAACACGTGATATTGATCAATGGGTGAGAGGATTGGGGGGGGGGTGGGGGGTGGGGCTGAAAATTTGACAAAACATGCATACAAGTAACGCACTTAATAAAAAATCCCAATTAGTGTCCCCCCCCCCCCAGGCTCGCAACTGCAAATTCTTTTTCACGCCCGTGAACTATATCAATATTCTAATGGGCCACCAGCTTTTATGACGCAGATTTATTTCACCAACTATTTCAGAAAAACACGAGAAAATATTACGCAACAAACGCACTTGCGATAATTTTAGAAAAAAAAAAAGAATTTAATTTAGCGTAGCTGTCGTGAATTTTATTTCGTGAAATCATATTTCCTTAATCGTGCGCTTGAAAAAATAGACACATGTTATTGTTGGGGCTGAGGGGGGTAGGGCTGAAAATTGAATGGAATGTCTTGTCATCTGCAATGATTCTATGTGCCAAAGTTTCAGCTCGACACGTTGACGGGAAGTGGCTCAATAATAATACATTAGTCGTTGGAAGATTATGTTCTAAAGCAGTGCTACTTAAAGTGGTGGTCCGCGGACCGGTGCCGGTCCGCAAGCCTTACGTTACCGGTCCAGAGAGCATGACTATTGATGTTTAAATTGAAAGAAAATGCAATTAATAAATCTGGCACCGGTCCCTGGTGCAGTTTCGAAACTAGTCCACCGGTCTGTGAAACTTAAAAAGTTTGGGAAACGCTGTTGTAAAGAAACAAAAAAAAAAATGACGTAAATCTATAAATGATTTTAAAAAAAGTAAAGAATTACTAACTTTAACCGTATAACTTATATAAACCTGTGGGCCTACTCGGCAGCAACAATTTTTTCGTGTTTTTGTTGTTTTAAGTATATTTTATTGGTTCTTCTTTTTTTGCAAGTTAAAATGTGCATTAAATTAATTTAGTATCAATGATGAGTCATGAATTAAATATTGATAATGTAGTGGTTATTGTATTCACCACTGCAGTCTTTATTTAAGTGTTTCTTGTAATATTTACTCTGTTAGGGATAGTGTTACCCCTTGGCGGACCTAACGTATTTGCCAGTCACTACAACAACAAAAAAAAGTTGAACCCCCCCCCCCCCCGGCCGAAAATGCCGCCCCTATTTATAAAGAGAAAAGTGCTTCCCGGGGCATACCACCCTCCTTCGCAGCCCATCATACGCCCCTACATTTACATTATTTCTAAAAAAAAGTTGAACCCCCCCCCCCCTCGGCCGAAAATGCCGCCCCTATTTATAAAGAGAAAAGTGCTTCCCGGGGCATATCACCCTCCTTCGCAGCCCATCATACGCCACTGCATTTACATTATTTCGTGGACGAGACGCATGTATAAAAGATATCATTTTGAATGTTTAAGAGCTCCAAGATAAGAACTACCAGAAACAAGAATGTGCTTGCTTAAATATTAGACACAGTGAGAGATAGTTTGTTGTACGTGAATGTTAATGTGTTGTAAGAAGCAGGACAAGGTGGGACAAGTCATTGTGAGAATCATTGGGGTTTACAGTAAAGATAAGGAAAATATATGAGTTAAAGTGGAGGGAAATTATTATAGCTTTGTCTACTGGAATAGAAACAGGGAGCCGAGGGGGTGATCCGCCCCTGGGGGAATTTTTTGCCAATTTCAAAATCTTCAAATACGTTTTTTTGAGAGTCCCTCTGTTCCGAACCAACCCAGAGCCTCCCTGCTGATGATGGTGCCGGCGCCGCCGCTGATGTAGCCCTGTTTCACGTACAGCTTGAAGCGTTGCCCCATGTAGACGGCCCGACAGGGGGTCGTCTTCAGACAGGAAGTAGCGAAAATTTTCCATGATGACGTAGGTGTCGCCGTCTGATATCAGGAACCAGTCAGCGTCATCAAGATGGTGATCGTACAGGAACTGCAAGGCCCGACGCTTTGGTTAGAAAATAAGCAGGGGCTTTAGAGAATCAAATAGGCCTGATTTACACAATTAAAAAATTCAGTGCATTCAGCTTATGAGCTAGACATTTCTTAAAGGTACGATATAATAAAAGGTTACAGTGGCCAAGCTTATAAGATTAGTCATCACGCGGGGCGGCTCAAGTTTTGTTCACACCACCACACACTTTCTTCACGAAAGAATTCTCAGCAGTTTTTAAAAAAAATTCCACCTCTCCATACAAAGAAAAAAAGTGCAGCCCTGAGCGAAAAGGCCCCTTTGCACCGTATTCCTACACCAGAGAACCCAACCACTATCCAAGTCGAGATAGCATAATTCCTAATCTTGTTTCGCCATCATTTGTCTGGTTTCATCATAAATATGTCCTGTTTCACGATCATGTGCTTTGTTTCCCCATCATTCGTCTTGTTTCACCATTTGAACACATCAAAAGAGTATTGTCACCAATATCACCTTCCCAAACTTTATCAGCCAATGACATTCCGTACTATATAAAAACAAAATTCCGACACATCTGCTTTTATCTCCCGTTTCGATACAAAGACATAATCGGCGATTTTGTTATAAACAATTTTTACAATGCATGGAATGTTCTTGAAGGCGTATTGTCGTATCCCTCTGTTACACTAAGACCGATTATGGGGAAAACTGTCATTCTGGATTGAGCTCATGAAAAGAGTGAGGTTGCATCCTTCGGTCAACCTGTCACAGTTGATCACAACAGCTTATTGATTACAACTGTTAATTAATCACAACTGTTTATTGATTACAAGTGCTTATTGATCACCACTGTTTATTGATAACAACTGTTTATTAATCAAAACTGTTATTGATCATTACTGTTTATTGATCACAACTAATTACTATTACTATTCAAAATTGTTCATTGATCATAATCTTTCTTGATTAAACATGTTTATTTTTTACAACTGTTTATTGTTCAGAAATGTTTATTGATCACAACTGTTTATTGATCAAAGCTGTATATTGACCATAACTGTTTTTCAATCCCACCTTGTTTTAATACACCACTTTATTTATCGCAATGCTATATTTAATAAGCATTTACTTTTTTCCCCCACATATTAAGAGATATCATACTTTTATTGATCTCAACTGTCTCTACAGCTTGTTGCAGTGGATTCCAATGGAATGTAACATGTTTCGCGCGTATTGACTAAATAAATTAGTAAAGTTTGAGTTCGGGGGAGACACAGCTGCGTACCAAGCATTGTACCATCAACTCATACTTCAATAGGCTAGACCATAACAGGCACCCTACCTGCCGTCATTGCAGCCTGGTCCCAGAAACTCTAGCGCATCTTTTGACCGAATGTGCCTCACTATAGGAATCAGGGGAGGCCAGGGCGGCGGGTGAGCCCTACGTGAGGACAATTTTATATAATAATAATAATAATAATAATAATAATAATAATAATAATAATATAATAATAATAAAGTCAATTTGAAAAAAACCCCGCTTCATCCCCAATTAAGGCTCGAAGCGCGGTACTAAGTCAAACCTAGGTAACAATTTATATTTTTCCACGTTAAAATAATAAAAAATTAAACAATACAAAATCTACATAAAAGCCAATGGACAATACAAGCCAATATACAACAAAGCATATGAGCAAGCTGGAAACAAGGAGATAGAATGCATCACTCCAGCAGGTGAGTCCGAAAAAAGATGTGTTTTCAACAGATGGAGCTGATTGCCAATGTACTACCCGGGGTCTTAAGAGAGTAGCCTAAAACCCTCAACAGAATTTGGGCTTAGATAGTTGAGGAGACCTTCAGTTGTAGTAGTGATGGATAATATAAAGATCGCTGAATGTGTGGGAAAGTTTGATCTTTGGGGGAGACCATCAGTTGTAGTATAGACAAATAACTTATGGCTCGCTGAAAAGTTTAATCCGTTAGATCTTTCGGGTAAAATTTTCGTAAACTATACACACGGTTAATG